CCCCCCAATATTGGCTCTGCTTTAATCAGAGTAGTTCTATCCTGGTATCACACACTGAGTGATATCTATGACCTTTAATGACTTCCATTCTTAAATTCACTTGTACTGCATCACGGTCTTATAACGTGGTTTTTTTTTTCTTCAGAAAAACCCGTTCTGAATGGATGCAACCTGGCTTTGGGCTTGACCCCAAATGAACGTCACGGTTCATTGAATTTGATTGCCGACTGCAGCAACGGTTTATATTTTTCTAGAAATTTCCAGCCACCGTGGTTCTGTAATGGATTGTCTGGGCACGGCTTGGGGATGTAGCATGAATGCAGATGTGTGGAGGTTGCTGCAATATCTTCCCTGAAGCAGGATGATCCAAGACACCTTATCTGTTGGTATTTATAGCCCGTGGAAATCACAGCTGGCCGGTACGGAGTGTAATTCTTTATTTCTAATGCATGCATAGCGTTTTATGGTTCAGAAAGGCGTTCTGCTTCTTGTGAAATATTCCGGGATGTTCTTCGGAGCGAGACACTTGTGTGTTTGGTGGTCATTTAGGGGAGGATGACTCACATGTGGATGTGGATTTGGATTAGCACCCTTTTAAGGGCACTGCAGGTTACCAAGACTGCCGTGAGCTGAGCTAAAACACCAGCCATCAGCCGAAGGCGGCAGCGCTACCACTTAAAGCCGAAACGTCGGGCTTATCCTGGAATGGCGTCGACTCTCTGTCGACTGCGTAGATTTGGTGTTGACTCTGTCGACTGCGTAGATTTGGTGTTGACTCCTTGTCGACTGCGTAGAGCTGGTGTTGACTCCTTGTCGACTGCGTTGAGCTGGTGTTGACTCCTTGTCGACTGCGTAGAGCTGGTGTTGACCCTGTCGACTGCGTAGATTTGGTGTTGACTCTGTCGACTGCGTAGAGTTGGTGTTGACTCCTTGTCGACTGCGTAGATTTGGTGTTGACTCTGTCGACTGCGTAGAGTTGGTGTTGACTCCTTGTCGACTGCGTAGAGCTGGCATTCAGCCTTCCTTGACTGCACAGGATTGCCTAGTGGAAGGAATGTGAACAGAGCTGTCAATTTTCAGCATTATTTAGATTGATTTATTATATAGGATTTATTAGGTGGAGATTTGATTTATCTCAGTGGGAGACTTTGTAGCCTCATGTCTTCAGCGACATCTGGCCTGTGCATATGTCTGTGGAGTCTGCATGTTCCCGCCATCTCACAGAGATACTGCCGTTTCCTCCCGCAGTCCAAAGACGTGCAGTCTGGTTGACTGGTCCCTTTAAATTGCCTGTGCTGTGTGCATGCGAGCGCTCTTTGGTGGTCTGGCTTACTGTGGGTGCTTTGCTGCTTTAGCCTCCCACTGGTTATCCTGTAGTAGATAAGCTGGATGGACATTGTACAAATGATTCCAACATTGCCTGTTTCCCACAATTCTTTGAACAATTCCAGATTCCATGTACTAGCGTCTTGTCGTGAGTCTTGGGTACGGGGTCTGCTCTGGGCGGGATGATATTACCAGAGGGCAGACGTTTAATCCCGTCGATATGACGTGAATGGGCGGCGTACAGCGCTTTAAAGACATTCTGTTTGGGTGCAGTTTAATCTTATATATCTGGGATAAATTACTTTTCTAGAATATGCATGATTTGCAGTCAGAGCTGAAGTTTGAGTCCCTGCAGTAGCCACCTTGAGTCAAAGTGACGTGATGACAGGTGGGACATTAGCGCTGTTTGAGGAGCTTAATTAGGCATCCCTCCACATTTCCATAGTCGTATTTCTCCCGTGACTAATGCTTTGGTATAAGTACATTCTTGCTTTAGAGAAAAAAGTAAATCTTTAATTGGCTGTGATTTGGTTTTATGAAGCATATGGACTTCATGGTAATTTATGGAAGTTGCACTTTCCGTAGATTATGACGGCACTTCTGATATGGTGTGAGTTTCAGACCCCCCCCTCCCCCGCCACACCCCCCTCTGGTGGTCCTCAGGGATTCTTAAACATCTTCTTAAATGACCTGGTGCGATGCTCCTCAGGTCTCTGCAGGCATCAGGAGCATCTGCCATTATTTATGTATCTCCTTCCTTCAAGGCAGGAGATGGAGGCTCTGGGATGTGCATCAGCAGCTGGATAAATGGGGCACATCACCCAACCTCCCCACCCCCCACCCCCGCCGCCCACGGATGCAGGACAGGCATGATTGTACAGCTGGGGAGTTGGTTGCTCCACCTTTTTCAGGACCCTCCGAGCCACGAGTACAGCAATGAATGACATGAGGTCGTGTCCGTGGGAGATCTTGGTGGGAAGGAAGGAGAAGGACAGTGTGAGTCTGTGGGCCTGCAGAAGTGTGATTGGGAATCTCTGAATTAAAGAGTGGGGAGGATACATTACATCTATCTAGCTGGGATTTGAACCAACAACCTCCTGATCAATAGCACAGCACCCCTCACCTGAGTGGGTTTGTATGATCGTGTGGCGGGCCGCAAGCTTTCAGGCTCGTAACGTTTAACCAGCGTGCGTGTTTAACGTCACCTCGACACAGGCGGTGATGCTGGGCCACTCAGCCAGTGATATGGAAATTTGCCTCACTGAAGAAGCCAGCTTCGGAGGGGGGGGGGGGGTGTACACAGTGAAAGACAGCGCCACCTACTGGCTGCTCGTCTAATTAAAGTGAGGGCCCTTAAGGCCATGTTTTAAATGCACAGTATTTCCCATGTTGGATGAAAATAAATTAGTCCTTGGCTTCCCTGTGGGGGAAGCAACAGCAGAGGCTTTTAATGTTTAGAGTGAATGCTCATTTCTCCAAAGTGGGTGGAGTCTTAGGTTACCAGGTAATCGAAAAAGGCCTCATTAATACTTTAACCTATCAGGAAGCGGATTGGATTGGAATTTCAAGCAAAGGCCATTGGGGACTGTAACGGCATGAACGGGAAGCTCCGCTGATTAAATGCGGTTCTTCTACCAGCCGCGTTCACACACTTTTACTTCTTTGTGGGAAGTAAAGAACAACCTGTCAGATGATTTTGTTAAAGCAAAATAATAACAGGAAAATCGTACTTGCAGCTTTTGTTGCTCTGGGGTCTGTGTGTGTGTGTGTGTGTGTGTGTGTGTTTTCTCTTAGGTTCACTTTTTCTGGCTGTCATATGGTGACGTGCTTGAATAACGTTAAACGTCGTGTCATTGTGTCGCGTTTGGGTCGCGATGCCGTCCGGTTATTATGTCCTAGCAGTGGAATGGAGGCTCTTTTCGGCGTGATGACCTGCCCTGTGGACTCGCCCCATACCATGACTGCGCCGGATAGCCGAGCGACCCGCAATGCATGCTGGGATGGACCTCGTGTTGCTTTTCTTATTTAAGCTTTATAAAAGCTACTCCTTAGACCAAACATTGCAAACCGCTTCCTCCTGTCATTCTCGGCACCTTGAACACGCTGAGGCCACCTGTGGACCAGGCTGGATCTGCATGGGGTTCTGGTGCCCGTTCCGCTACAGGCCCGTACCACCCCATGGAGGGGGTGGGGGGGGGGGGGGGGGG